ATTAATTATTTAAAATTCATAGACCGTTTGAGGTCACAATTTATATCTTTGGATAGAGCTCAATCTCACGAACGCGTAGGCGCAAACCGTTCGTGAAACGGATCTATAACGAAGAAGTTAGAGACGTTTTAGTTGTTGGAAAATAAATAATTAAAAGTTTAGAAGCTGCTAAGTGGCAGCAAGGGAGAGAGGAGAAAGGGGAGAGAGCGGGAGAGAAAAGAGGAGGGGGACAGCCAATCAAAGAGGAGGAAAGGAGGGGAAAGGAGGTAGACCCGAAATTGGTCATTTTGACCCGCGAACCATCAAAATTGAATCGCTCATATCTCCTTCATACGAACTCTGTTTTGGGTGATCTTGATGTCCATGGAAAGCCCTTAACGAGCCCTACATCTTTGTAGTGTTAGATTTCTCAATTTATTTCCCATTTTTTCAGTTCGAAGCCACAAACCCACAGGTATCAGGACGGTTTTATCCTTTTTCCAGTGGCTCCGGCAAGCTTTACCATCAATGACCACCACAAAAGGACTCCTCTCAACCCCAGGAACAAAGCCCAAGCAGTGGTGGAGGCATCGGAGCTCGTATGGATTCCGAATCGAAGCACACCCTTTTCTAGGGTTAGTGCGGGTTTGTGTAAAATCGAGGTGTTTCCCGGAAAAATTGTCCTTGTTCACAGGTATGAAAATTGTTCCCCTCACTGAGATCTACTTGCCTGTAAAATTTCATAATTTTTTAAAATAGTTGAATTTTCCGGCAAGTTTGGGTGGCCGACAGCCACCTACGGTGGCACGTGGCCAGTGGCCCGATGATGACTTTCTAAGTTCAATTAGATGTCCTAACTTTGTATTTGATATTCGTATGACATGGATTGATCGTTGAACCTAATTTCATTACGATACGTGGTTTGGTCAAAAATATGATTTGACGATCCGACTATTGGATCGTCACCAAACCTTAATGCGTGATAGAACATAACATTTGTGGATTATAGAAACTTACAGATCGGGAATCCGACGTACGGATCTTCCCTAATTAGATTTTTAAGTTTGTAAAATTAAATGTCGCTCGCGCACTTGAATTTTGAAATTGTTGGAGATCCAACCGTCGGATCGTGATGAAATTTTAGTATGTTGTTTTAGAGGAATAATGTGAATTTTACAAAAATTGCAGATCTGAAATCCAACGTGTGGATCTTATGGATCGAGTTATGTAGAATTGTGAACCCTACCTTTGATCGAGAGTTGACTTTTGGTCAACATGTCTCAAAACGTTCTAAATACTAAAATTAGTACTACGGGAGACACAGTGATGCCTAGTGGGCCTACATTGGTTAGAGAGTGACTTGAATATATGGGCTATGGTGATTACCTTAAATTCTTATATTAATATCAATTGTGATTACGACTTGGTTTTATAAATGTGATTTTATATATTTAGCCATAGGCCTATGCTTATTAAATAGGATTTGGCTTGTACACTGATGATGTTTGTGATATATATGTGTTTAATTATCTTTTTAATAATGTGATTGATAATTATGATGAATGTTATGACAATTATGAGATTTAATTATTGTTTGATAATTATTTGGATATGATTGCCAACTGAATACCTATTTGAACTTGGCATTACTACCTAGCTTGAGATGGAAATGAGTTAGGTACTTTATTAGATTTTTAGTAGAAATAGTAATTAAGGGAATTCCTTGTGTTGTGTTCCATATGACTAGATGTTGGTTGATATGTAGAATCGATAACATGTATGCGTATAATTATGTTTAATGTGTGATGATGAGATTGCACCACGTAGTAGTGGTACATGGATGTGGTCCTGCTTGGTATATCTGTGAAGGGGGACCATATGTATTCAGGGGTGATCATGCTTGGTATATCCGCGATGGGTGATCACTGCTTGCACGATGATATTATGCCTATGGTTCTGCTTGGTATATCCGCGATGGGGGACCATACGCATTCTAGAGGTGATGATGATTGGTTGTACTTGGTACATTTTATAGGATATCATTCGGGATTTTCTATGATTCGATTATGATTTCATAAGGTATGAATTTAGAAGATATGGGAATGATTGTTATTACTTTGATCAAATTAATTAATTAATGCGGCTAGAGAATGGTTTTGTGTTTCGTCGGCTCTTAAATATGATGTGTGTTGTGAATTGCGATATCATGATGAGACATAATGATTTATATGTTTGTGAGAGAGAAATCATGTTTTCATGGGGATTGGTTATGTAGCCTGAGTCCAGGAATTACATGTTGTCAGGTTATAATAAATGATTGAGGAATGCTATGCTTTTTTGCTTGAACTTAGTGAATAAACGTCTGATTTTGTGATAAGGTGAATTACGAATGACTTGATCTCTATTGAGGGTACGTAGGCAGTCTAATGAAGAGGTTAGATGCAACCATAAAGTATACGAAAAATTATTGTGCATCTGGATCTTGAAGGATACTTTGTATATATTCAGGAGGCGAGGTATGATAGATATACGGGTATTTGGTGACGTCACGTGTTGATCTTGGACGTATGTCGGGATCGGGGCGTGACAAGTACCCTTAATCTTGTATGCAGTCAATAGAGATATGTATAGTCACACTTCAGCTTTCTCAAATTCTTTAAATTTCTTTTCAGTTGCATTCAAGTAGTTAACAGCCAAATCAGGTGTCTTGATTCCTCCTCGAATTGTATCAGTAATACCACTCTCTAGGATAGATAGTGCCATTTTATTAGCTCTTGTCCATCTCTCAAAATCTGCATTTTCAGCTCAGGTGCTCTGACAATTGATGACAAGCTTGAGATTATCAATTGCTATATCAAACTCATTTAGAGTTAATAGCAAACTAATGTCCATTCTCCACTTCTTGTAATTACCCCCACCAGTGAGGATTGGAATGTTAGCCAAATTGAGGGTCTTCATTGATATTGTAGACACTGAAGAAAATAATGAAATCACAAAAGACTTTTAGGTTCCAAATTTCTTTTCTCAGTCTATTGTACATCCTATCATCAAAACTATTATGCATATGCATAATCTTAACAATGAAAGGTTGATAAGCACATATAGAATAAAAGGTTTTGCAGAACATTAAGAATTAATTGTTATGTAATCATGGACAACCATCTCAACATTATAATGGATTTGTCTCAGATAAACAATTCTTAGTTCATCAATTTTTTTTTTCATAAAACAAGTGATGTCTGTAGAAGGTCCAAGCTAAACTTTCTTCCATAGACAATTAGAGAAAATGCATAATCATGGGATTAAAAAACAGAAATAAGCGTAATCGTGATGTTTGTTATTCAAATCATGTTGAAGAAAGGAATATATTAGAGATAAGATGGATCAAAATCCAAATTTCAATCCAATGCTTAGAAGACATATCCTTTCGTTCAATGAGTATCAATACCCACGCGTGAAAGCATTTAATAATAAGGAAAACTAATGAAAATGGCTTGAAAACTTTGAGTTTTAACGATAAGGACAAATAAAGGGTAAAGTGAATAGTACTAGGATTAACTTTTTAGTGTAAAAATGTGATTTTTCGTTAAGGTGAACAGTACCGGGAGCTTTTCATTAAAGTTCCCTTTATTATATATATTGAAGACTCAACAACAACTTGAACAACCCAAATCAACAAAATTCGAAATTGAAAAGGTAAATTGTTGTATTCCTAATTCGAGAAAACCCCCATAAGTAGATAGGCTTTGAGTTCTAACGATAAAAAAAAATTAAACAATCATATTTTATTAAAACACACTGTTTTTCCTGGACCCAGTTTTAAGTCTAGAACCAGTTTCAAAACCTAATGGTAGTAAAGATGATTTTTTTTTTTTTTTTTTTTATATTAGGATTCTATCGATTTTGTTGATTGAATTTAAGAACCTGAATCTATGGGTCTGATACCACATGTTAATTCTAAACCACAAACAAGATTCAGTTATTCGAATAACAACCGAACAAAATATAGAACACTAATCCATGTAAGGTTGAAGCATACTAACCTGAAGAACTTCCATTGGATGCAACCATGGTTATTCACGATTAACCTGAATGCACACCAGCTCATCTTTTCTCTATCGGGATGCTTATTGCTCAAACTAAGAATGGGGTTTAGTTCCAAAAAAGCATGATCCTGTGAGAGGAGAGATCGCTATATATATACATATACACATATCTCTTCTCATAACAAAATAAGAACTCCCTATTAGAATCCTTATGGAAAACAACTTATGTTTTGCCAATCCATATCAGTTCATTACTACAATATAATCCTCTATTGACAAGAACTAGTATACATCTTCCCATAAGGCTTTCTTATACCAATTGGTCTCAAATAGCTAATGCCAGATCACCTAATCTCATGTTCATATTCTTACAAGGCAGAGAAACCAGTGTTGCAATCTTCTTAGCTATATGTTGGAGTACCAACCAAGTTATAACACCAGGCCTTCATTGTGAACTTGTAGTTTAGAACTTTAAAGTGATACTTTTATACACATTGTTTAACATTTTTATGAGCACTTTTATTTAATTCTAACAGATTGGCGAGTTAGCTAAGTCGTTTATCTGGGATTTGTATTTCCCCCTACACTTGGATGAAACACTCTTCCATGTTCGGCTGCTTCTTTCAAAGCACCAGCTGCAAGTGGTGCCTGTCATAGAGAGAACCAATTCTAAGCTCATTGGTTTTATTTTATAGGTATATCTATCTCTAAATTTTACTTTGTGACATAAATGGTTGTGAGAAGCTAACAGCCAATTTGAGAATCTGTACAACAAGAAATTATATATGTTGAGCTTGAATGTTTTAACCATTTGAAGTTAACAAAACTAAAATAAAAAAAAAATTCATGATTTATTTAGGCTTGGATGGCATGGAGTTGTACATTTGCTGCTTCAATCAAGTGGTTTGGACTAGTTTGATAACATTGCTGACAAACCCTTATCCAAGTTCCAGTATATATGCTAAACCTTTATCAGACTTCCAAAATGGTTTTGTTCTTTCAATTATTTTTGCTTTAATTAATCAAAGCTATATTAGTAGTTTACAATTGAATACGTAATTCTCATTTTTATTGGAATTGCATCTTCGTTCATGTTTCCATTAAGGTTTGGTAATGAAGAGCATGTTGTAATATTTATGGAAACCAAAGCCTAGCAGGAGCTCTTCATGTTCTATGAAAAAACCAAAATGGTGCAGTTGCTGTGACAAAATGGTGCAGTTGCTGTGACATAAGGAACATCAACCTCTATCTTCTTCTTCTTCAGAATCTCCCTCGCAATATAAAGTAAGTTGTTGTCACAGACAGACGATGACGACAACAATCCTGAAATAGAGCATAACAAAGAAGAATCATCGGGTAAGAATAAAACTCTTGTAGATACCTTAAAATTTGATTTAAGGTGGATATCCCTGTTACAGAGGGGATGTTGATGCAGAAAAGTTAGACAATTGAATAGATACCTTAGAAACTTACTTCACTGTGTATAAATACTCCAATTCTCAAAAGACTTTTGCAAACTTGAAACTTACAAGTCATATGCCCTCTCATGGTGGAAACTTACCAAAAACGGTATGATATATCTAAATTGACTTGGAAGGAATTCAAGATGATCTTGAGAAAACAATTCTATCCAATTGGCTAGGAAGAAGAAAGATGGTACAAGTGGCAACACTTCTGACAAAAGTTTGGGCAAACTGTCCAAAGTATGTTACTGAGTTCAATAACCAAGCTATGGTTTTGGATGTCGATGTCGATGACTATGATGTGTTCATGAAGTACACCAGAGGTCTTGCCGACTACTTACGGAAAAAGCTGAAATCGTTCACCGTAGAAATTATTGAAGAAGCTATTATTAAGGCCATTACCATCAAGGCAAAAAACAAACAGAATCCTAGTAGCAAATCTGATTTGAAGAAAAAGGGAAAGAAAGTAAGGAAGGTCCAACACAGAGGAACTACTATGATCATTGTCAAACTAGTAAACATGGCATAGACAAGTGCTGGACTCTTCACCCTGAGTTGTGACCGTAACATGTTAAAAACAATTAGGGGAGAAATGAAATAAAGCTACCTTGACTACACAACAATCAGAAGAGCTTCTAGAAGTGAGGCAGCCTGATGCTACTCTTGCCCTTATGACCAAACCAACAGATGTTGTAGATTCTCATAACGGTGAAGAGTTGTTTCATGTGAATATTTAGGTGAAACAAAATGTTGTGCAAGCTATCATTGACCCTGGAAGTCAGAAGAACTTGATTTTAGAGGCTCTAGTTCAGAAGGTGGGCTTATACACCACACCATATCCTAAACCATACTTGTTAGGATGGATTTAGAAGGATGTTGACTTGTAGATCATGAAGCAATGTATCTTCAAATTTGCAATCACCAATCGTTTCATTGATGAGGTGACATGCGAGATGGTTCCATTAGACGTGTGCCAAGTCATTCTAACAATCTGTATTTGTGGGACCATGATGCAATTCACTGCATGGGGCTTCACAAGTATCATCTTGTAAAGGACGAGAAAAAGTTCCATATCAATGCTTGTAAGCCTCAAAGTACATAAAACTTCTTGATAGTTAACCAAGCCAAGAGGTTGGTTAATTCATGTGAAAGATTTGTTTTACTAATGATTCAAACACAAGATCAGATTTATAAAGCTGTGACTTTGTCTATCGTGGCTCCTTTACACAATGTTCCAACATTGAAAAATTGCAAAAGGAGTTCAAAAACTTTTTTTTAAGATGTGCAAGGATTACCACCAAGGAAGGTTGTAGAGCACGAAATCCAATTGATAGGAGATTCACCTCTACAAAACTTAGGTTTGTATCGCCTTTCTCTGACAGAATCTAATAAGATTAAGGAGTCATCAAACCAATTGCATACCATTCTAAAACGTTCATTGGGCCATATTGAACTATCTAACTTATGACAATACACGCCGATGATGTTGCAGCTGAGAGAGAATGAGTCGCGAATGTGTCGGAGAGTTTCAGGTACCGCCCAGTCGCCTGCCTAGGCCACCTAGGCCTCTCAGACACCCGTCTAGGCTGTCCAACGTCTGCCTAATTTCTTTCCTTATTTTTCTTCCGATTTTGGTTAAATCCTAGTGGCTACCCACTGCCTAGCACCTAGACGGCCCCTAGATCGAGTTTTAGAACACTGCCCATAAGTACCATTGATTTCTCATAGATTTTGATTCATATAAAAACTTGAACTTTCCCACAAAATGCAACTCACACAATGCAACTTTTATATTCTCAAGGTTACGAATTCGGTGAATAATGAATATATATATATATATATATATATATATATATGCATATACCATTATTGTATATAATTATATTATATATTGTTCGGTTCAAATTCGGAGATGGATACGGATTGGATACCTCTATAACCATATCCAAAACCATAACTGAATAATATTCACGGTTTTTCTTCATATTCAAAATATACCCAAATTTTCATACCCAAATCCAATCTATTTGGGTGGTTATCCATGGTTATCGAGTTTAACAATTAGAATTGTTATCCCCTATCCTAAAAGCATACAATTTCCACCTGCAGTTTGTTGCACACTTTGCACTTATCTTCCACTTCTTATTCATTTTCAGCCTAATTGAAATAGCACCGTGCTAAATGGAGTGTGACCACAGTGCCTCTCTCAATTGTGAAACATCTCTGAACTTCAATCCTTTTTCAAAATTTGGATCATCCATGTTAGCTTCTTCATTGAACTCAGGGTATATGACCCTTTCATCAACCTCAGAACCTAATTCATCAACAATGTGCAGGCCATCTAAGTCTTATATTCCATCATCAAAGGGAACGTAGTTTACATCCCTTTCATCAATAACTTCATCAATATTTTAGTTGTCACCATCTCCACCATTACCAAACCTTTCACCCCTATGATCTTCTCCAATTAGTGTATCTACACTTTTTTCATCTATTGCACCACGATCATCATCTTCCATAAATATTCATCGTCCACAAATTCATTATCAGTACTGTCTTCCTCTGCATTACCTACCACATACAATGAATATTAGTAAAAAAATAGTTTGGAGTACATAACAATTGAATACTTTCAATAAAAATGCAAAAATAAGTGTTTCTAAAATTACATTCAGCAACCACATCTTATTCACCTTCAGTTCCAACATCATCAGCCCCTTCTTCACCACCATTAATATCACCTTCATCAGCACCATTGAAAGTCACTTCATCAACACCATTGAGAGTTCATTCATCAGCATTGTAGAGAGACCCTTCCACTTCATTGTCTTTCCTCAGTCTCGTATCCATTATCTTCGTGATTAGCATTGTAGACTATGTCATTCAAAATGCATAACCTTTTTTGTAAGTCATTAACACCTCATTTTGCTCTAGACTTTTTCAATTTTGACCCACTACCCTTTTTAATAGACAATGCAACCCTCGATTCCTCAATATCTTATATAGTTACCTTCCTTTTTACTATTCCACTCTCATCTAGATTCATCAGAGATTATGTTTAAGGGTAGCTTGCTTTGCACTTTGATGTTCTAGTTACAATTCTATTTCCCTAGTCCCTAGAACATACTTACACATATTACATATTATCCACATCTGGTCACGTTCTATCAGCCTTAATCCCTCCCTATAAGACATCCCAGGAATCCTATAGTGATACAAAATGGACCCGTCATACCCTAACTCCTCAACCATCGAATCTAACTAAAAAAAAAGACATAAAGTCTTTGTCTACATAATCAAACCAAGCTTCAAACCCTTCCGTATATGCATCTTCAGACCATTTCCCACCATGGTAAGGGTAACAAATCTGGCATGCCTAAAAAGTCAATAATAAAGGGCTTTAAAAGCCAAAAAACACAAACAAATCTGGCTCCACAAAGCTTTTATAAGCCTGGTGAGGACAAAAAAAGGGACAAACAAACCGTGGTGACCATCAATAAAGGGTTTCTTTAAAGCATTGCAACTGGGACTATCAATGGAGACACAAACCACATGCACATTGAAAACACTAAACAATGGAGACACCCACTACAAACACAATTCCAAAAAACCACAGAAAAAGAAATCGGAATAAAAAAGTCACAATTTCTTAAAAATTCAAAATTGTTAAATCGTACAACCTAAAACCCTAATCAATATCGAAAAGGTAGGATTCTTACAATATGAAGGTGCTTCACTAACTAAAATCTTCTGTTTTTCCTACCCCATCACCTCTTATGGCTTGAAGGCTTCTTTTTCTAGAAACGGCGCACCCTTCTTTGAGGTGCACGAACGTGCGACGGCGTGCGAAATTATTGGGCCGACAACGAGGTGGATCGATGATGAACAAGAGCGACGGCGAGAAAACGCAACGGCAAGCAAAAGCGACAGCTTGCGGCGGGGATGTAGTAGAGTTGCGAATGAATCAGGGTCGTGCCTTTTAGGGATGTGGGCTTAGGTTAAAAATGGTTTTTACTTTTCGAATTCTTATTTTTAATTGTTTCAAGTTTTTTAGATTTTGAATTTCAATTTTTTTTTGTAAATTTAAAAAAAAAATTAATTTCCACGTGGCACGAAAATAACATGTTGTGTCGATTCACTGGCCACATGGGTGCCACGTCAAAAGATAATGGGGTTCTTAACAGCCAACGTCACAGATGTACTAAACTATCCTAAAATTGTGACTTAAGGTAACACTCTGAGACAAAAAAAAATCATATACCAAATATTAAAAACCAAGAACCTTTAAGATAGTAAACTTAGATTAATCCTAAATAAGAATATTTACAACAATGATCAATTTTTAAACTCTCCAAAAAGTAAATGAGAAACCTTGTTGTTTGATTGCGATGTTAACTTTTATTAAAAATAAAATAAAGTAAAAGATACTGTCTTAACTTGATTAATGTGGGGTGTAGACTCTAATAATGAAATGACAAAAAATGAAAAATAAAAATTGTACTCTAATAATAAATGATGCCAAACATGTGTGTGTTAGATGAATCTTAGAAGAAGTTTAATTTTATACATTTTTTAATATTAAAAGAATAAAATAAATCAAATAGAAAAATAAAATAAAAGAAATGAAGGGGATGGGGAATTATTTGAACGTTATTATAAGGTGTGGCTTCGATGTTACATATTTTTATTGCATTTCTCGTGATGTACTGAAACTCAAACCTACGTAAGCTTTTATACTAATCAGAGCTATAATGTGTTTCAAAACTTTAAATAATTAGTATAGGACTAACAAGTAACTAAGTTCCAAAATAGAAAAAAAAAGTAATTAAGCTCACAATTATCCTCAGTAGGTTTTGTTTTAGAGAAGCAATAGGTAGGGCTGCCCGGAATTTGGGTTTTGTTTTTTCTCGGTGAGCTCTGCTTTAGAGAAACGGTGAAGCAGGAAGGGACGCCTAAACCTAGGGTTGGTTTCAGAGATTTGGTCTGCAAGCATTGATGAAGATTTCTCCCAGCTGGCAGTTTGAATTCCTTTCAAAGCTAAGTGTCCCTTTTGAACCGAATTTTCCCTTATTTCACTGTTTCTGGTTTGAACTTGCTTAGAAACCAGTTGGTTTTTCCTGCTTTCTTTTCTGTTTAATTCTGGTTCGGTTCTTCAACGTTTTAGTTGGGAGTGCAAGATTTGATTTTAAATTATTAAATTGGGACAGCAAAACAAGTATTTTTTGCTGCTTTCTTCACTGTCTAATAATACCACTTCCTCTTCATTTCTCTTTTTCTTCCTGTTGTGTTGGTCTTTCAGTATTTATAGCTTCTCCGCCGAAATAGGTTTTCCATTTGTATAAACCTAGGGTTTTGGGTGTTTTTTCCTCCATGGTAAAATTGCTTCGCACAATTTCTGGGGTTGCGATCGACGGTGGTATGTGTTGTGTTTGGTTTTTCTTTTGCATTTTGCTTGATTTGGATGAAATTGTAACCATTTTGTTTTGGGTTGGTTTTGATCCTGTGCTAGGTTTTCCTCGCTGAGAGGATATTTTTCATTTTGGTTCCTTCGTTGATCAGTCGCAAATTTGGCAGTGTCTCTGCCGGTCCTCTTATTTTTTGGGTAAATCTCCTTCCGCCAAAAACAATTTCCTTGCTATTTTTACTACTTCGTTCTCCTTCTTCTTCTTTATTATTATATACCTTTTGTCTATTTAACATGTTTGTAAGATTGGTTTATCATTTATGCATGTTTTTATACAATTGTTGCATATTTCATTCATATTTTACATATGTATATGCTTCACTTTTATCAAGTACATACTTGAGAGATTGGCAGCTTAATTTTTGGGTGACTTTTTGTCATCATTTTTTTTTATACGTCTGGGAACCCATTGATAAGTGTTAGATTAGAGTGTGTTTGTAATTTTTTGGAACAAATCAGAGGAATGATTGGAGTTTGGGTAAATTTGATGTTAGGTTAAAATTTCTTTGTAATTTTAGTCTGTTGTGCATTACCTATTCGGAAATCACGCTTGAGCAGTGGTGTTGCACCATTGTGCTATTTTGCAAAGTACCAAACCAGGGGAAGAAGATCATTAACACTTTGTTTAGACAGAACCGTTTGTTTTGGCCAAAATCAAAAGGAAAAAAAAAATACTTTTAACCAAATGTTGTGTTTTCTTTCTTCTTTGTCCATTTTTCCTAAAACATTTAACCAAAACATGACAATTTCACTGAAAAAAAATCCCATTTCCGTACTTTTAAATGAATTAAGCATGTCATTTTAACACCTCCTATAAAATATTTATGTAAACCAACAAAAAATCCGACTTTTTTCCTACTTCTGAATGAATGAAGCATGCAATTTCAATTTTGTCCATGTGGTCTAACTATTGAATCAAAACATGGCAATTTCATTGCAAAAACCCCATTTTCCCCAACTTTTGACTGAATTGAGCATAACATTTTAAGGCTTTGCGTAAAAGATTATATGAGGCAGCTAAAAATCCTATTGTTTTTCTACTTATTCATTGAATCAAACATGTCATTTCAAATTAGTAGCTCAATTTTCTTTCTGCTGTTACAATTAGTGGCTTAAGTGCCCCATTTTTTCCTACTTTTGAATGAATTGAGCATAGCTGTGAATCGTTTCCTAACAAATCTGTTGAGATATGTTATTTTTGGTAGGAAATTATGGTTGTTGTTGTTAGAAATAGATTGAATTTTTCTGTTTGGTTTTGATTATAGCTTATGTCTTTGAACAAGCATCCTTTTAAAGTTGCTGCAAAGTGTTTCCTCCCTTGCTTGAACAGGTAATACAATGTTTCCTCCCTTAATTTCTCTGTTTCTTCTACTATATCCACCTGCCATAAATCACAAAAGCAGTTCTACTCAACACGCACGCACACACACACCCACTTTTCCGACCGTCCAAATCAACCACTTTTCCGACCCTTGAATGTCTTAAGGTACTTTTCTGTTTCTTTTGGTTCCTTCTTTTGTTGCTTAAATTCATGTGATTAAAGTCTGAAAACATATAGTGAAAAAGATGCAACTTTTTTATGTCAAATGTGCTTAAAGATTGGACATGTTATTGAATGTTAGCCATATAGTTTGAATTGGATATGTGATTGAATAGTAGGTATTTAGTTTGAATTGATTTGAATGTGTGGTTTATTGAATTGGAATTTGGATATGTGCTAATTGGAATTGGATATGTTGAAACTTTATATTTATCTCAAAAGAAAATAAAAGGAATTCATTCCACATACAGAAGCAAATGATCCAACAATTACATATTTAATTCGAACTCCATGAGTGTTTTTGTCAATGATTTATTGATTTTGTGTGATTTCGGTTGGATGGCTATCATAAAGTGAATCCTCAACTTTGTTCGTGTATATTGAGAGTAAATTAGAGAGCTAAAAGGTAGTAAAGTTTGAATATTTATGTTTAATGTTGTTTTGAGTTTGGATTAATTTTGTTTGTTTGATATTAGAAATTGAGTGATAGGGAATTGGCACTTTTGTCCCTTTTGAATAACGTTTAACTCAATTCTAATTTTCTATTTGGTTTCCAAGAAAATTGAGGGAAAAAAGGATAGAAGATTAATGAATTCACTGAATTGAGTGCTTTAAGTCCATTTGTGATTGAAGTTATTCCCTTTGCTTTCATTTCTGTTTTTTTTTCTTTTGGGTTTCCAGCACGTTGAGCATGGTAAAATAAATTATTTTGATTTTGGAAGTCTACTTTGTTTTTCAACTTTAGTTCTTGGGGGAACCGAAAATGTGATTATATGTATGGTGGTTGTATTTGTTTGTCATTTGAAAGCAATTGAAATAGAGTGAGAGAAGGGAGAGGAAAAGGATTTGGTCCTCATTTAATTCTTCTTCTATTTCATAGATTCAAAATGTGTTTAGTATCTTATTTAATTGGTGTACCTTTGCTCATTTAACTCAGATTTAATATGATTTGGTCCTCTAATTTCTCTAAATTGCTAACGGATTATTTTCTTTAGAAATTTCATGAACTCTGGTTGTGGGATGATGCTTGTAGATGAACTATATGCACGGTTTTCTAGGATGAGTTAGGAAGATCCACCTGAAAACAGCATAGAAGATAGAGAACTGGTATGTTGCTTTGTGTTTCTGTTGGATTTTGATGTTTATATGACCATTGTCTTTTCAATTGATAAAAAATCTTGTGTAACTTCTAAAAATTCATCGTCACCATTGAAAAAAAGTGTGATTTGTTCTTGGTAGATCGGGTGGCGTTCGATAGTTGATGGATTCATGCCTAGAATCCTACTACTAATTTTGGGCTACAGGCTTGACCATTATTTACAGCAGAGAGGTTGTTTTGAGATTAAGAGACCATAGGAAACTATCATACAAGACTATACTTACAATTCAATATCGTTTTTCGAGTTCATAAGAGGAATGTGTTTATGGAAGTTAATATCTTCTTTTTCTTTTGGTGGTTTTCTCACTAGGAAATGCTCAAGTTCTATCATATATTTTTTGGTAATTGAGTTTTAATTTTCACAGTAATTGTACAACCTTGTTCCATCATGATTAAATCTGCCTCGCAGATCTTCTCTCTGTGCCTCCTTCAAAACTCCTATCGTGAGTTCCAAAATATACCCCCAATTGTATTTTCTCTCTCTCTGCGCTTTTGGAAGGTTCCAATTTCTTTAATTTCTTAAGCTTATACCTAATTCCGCCTGTGTAAGTTTATCTTATATTGCCGGTCCCAAGCCCGGATAAAGGAGGAAGGGGAGGGCGTCAGGTAGTCGACAACCGGCACTCCTCGGTTACGTCGAATCCTTATGAAAATGAATCCAGAACGAAATCACGCTAAAGCTAGGGCGTCACCCGTAAGTGCCGTGCTGTGTGGCCCGAGCACAGTGATAAGTGAGTAAGGGTCGCTGTATCTCCATCGGCACCCGGATGCAGTGTTAAATGAGCAAGGGGGCCATAGAAAATTCTTTTCGAACGACTACACT